AATTTACTGAGCTAAATTCTTTTGAAAGCGGTTCGGATCAAACATCTTTCTCGACCACTCCCCATATAATGCCTTACTTTGAAAAGCTGTTATGTGAATAACTCTGTTGAATGATGTGGTATATGGTATTAAATAGTGGCTTCGGCCCATTACAAGCCGACAATATAAGCTTCTAAAAGCTTATGGGCTTTGGCAGTAGATTTCTTCAAGTCGAGTAAATGCAATTTAGAGCGTTCCATGATTAGCGTTCGTAGTAGCGTCTGAATATAACTCAATAACCGTTGTGTATATTAATACTTTGTGTTATCTTATCATTTTCACCAATAGATATCGTTGATCAAAATACATGCAATCACCTTTCATATATATATATATATGACATGTGTATGCCCTATATACTCTACATATTCGGCATATTATTACCTACATATATCTACGTTTTGCTAAGCATTTAATTCGAGTTAATTTTTTTCTTGTTGTTTACCGCGTATCAAATATGTTTTCACTTTGTTTTTCTATTCCTAATGCGAAATCATTGTTGTTTTTCTCGTAAAATGCCTGGTGACTGGGTATAAACTGTTGCTTAAAAATATGTTTGTACGTTTGTGAAAATAAATGATTTATTAAAATATTTCAGTGTTAATAGAGTGTTTTTCACAAATTTTCTTAATTAAAAAAAAAAAAAAAACGGACGAAAAATTCCTTTCATTTAAACGAACACATATACGATTTAAAAAAAAAATTTTTTTAAATTATTTATAAAGCATACAACAACAACGATTACAAGAATAGGATGTAGAATTAAAATATTTTACTGTGAAATTTATTGTTTTCATAAAAAACATTTCCAAAACGAAAAAGATTAGAGCCGCATCTGAAAAACGTCACAGAAACATGAAAAGTCAAAAGGAATGTTTCTCAAGAGAACTAATATCGAACAATTTCCTTGTGACTATTCCGTTATGATACAAAATGAAAGCCACTATAACAAGAGTACAAATAATGCTTGCTTCGAACTTAAGCCGCATAGCATGATATGATATCGAAAGCATGCCTAATCCTATTCCTATAGAGTGAAAGGAACTTTTCTAATAGACCAACTCTTGCAGTCGCACGCGATATATTCCAAAGATAATGTATTGAGTACAATACATATCTGAACTTCCTTATAAAGTATTAACCGAATCATTTTGTCGAGATTTCAAACCGAGTTCGTGTCGAATGGACAGAGAAGCAAACATAACTAACTCAGTTCCACTATTACTTTCTATGGTACCTCTCCAATGGGACAAGTTATCAACATTTCAATACTACTTATATTATTTTAAACCGATTTTGCAATACGTTGTGCATCGTTTTCATGGGGAAAGATTGCTCTTTATACAAAATATATTGACATATATAATTATATATATATTTATATATATATATATATATATATAGGTATATATATACTCTTTTCACATTGTTTCCGTTGTTCATTTCCTTGATGTGGACAACGCCCTCCCGTGACGGATTCCCCAAATAAGGGCACCATAGAAATTTGTTTTGGTATCGATTTTACCAGTCAACCGTGTCTGCGTAAATGTCTTTTGTTCTTCAGATTACAGCAACAGATCTATGTTTCACTGTTCGCCGGAGTCCAATATGGCATTGACTCTCAAAACAAAAGTGAAAAGAGAGCAAATTAAAATATTATGCTCGGGCAAGGGCGGCCATTAGATGCCCTACAACACTTCGACTACTACAGTTATACATTCATTTCGATAAAAATACGAGGTTTGTAGGCTCCTTGCGTGGGATAGGATCCAAAAAATGAACCTGCTTGATCCAAAATTTGATATAGTTGATCTTTACGTCATTTTCATGAGGACATATCAATAATTGGAAATAGCTTATATTTTCCATGAGAATCTTTATATCGGATGATGTCCAACAAGTAGACTTACGTCATGGCCTAAATTCGGTAAAGATATTTACTTATTTATTGGCTATATATTTTCTAAATAAATTTACAAAGTATGGATGGATTTAAAAGCTGCCGGATAACAACTTAAATCGTCTGCTTGCCTATATTGAAAACTCTATCGCACTTGGGATTTGAGAACCCGCGACCATTGAATTGTTAGTTGCGATCCTTTGCCTACTCCGCTACACAAGCAGCAAAGTTATTTTCTACGTTAAACTACTATTATTGACCAATTGTATGGCGTAAGAAATAAAAATTCATTTCACGTAGAACTTGACCTTTTTAAAATTCCAAACAGCTATGCAACCTTCTACGCGCTAAGTTATGTTGTGTTGTTAAAGATAACTATTTCGTATAGAGAAGTCACAGTTCACAGAAAAAGTAATACTATCTCTTGGAAAAATCAATGATCATTTGTTTGAGCACCACTTGATGGCACTCGAATGCCATCAATGACATATATATAAACTACGGTAGAAATGTATTTTAATATAAATTAGTCAAAGGTTTATTCAATGCCCTATAAGTATTAGTACAAGTTAAGCTTTTCATTTAATGCCAGTTGTGGCAGAAATTTCTTCATATAAATTATTTTTATATAACTACTACTAGTTAGGATACTAATACGAGCGAAGACGCTGAACAATTTATAAAAAAAAAAAAACAAATTATTTTATAGAACCTGCCATTTATCATAAGCATAACCCATACTTTCTAAGCAATAATTGCCAAGATTTTGAAATATGAGCTCATCAACGTCATTATCTTAAATGCGCGCACACACACATACGTACACTATTGTGCACGTTCATAATTTCACTTACATGAAACATAAAAACCGAAAACAACGTAATTACAAAACATTTTTTCCATCAACCACCGGCTTGTCGCAAATGTTTATAAAGAAGTAAAGCAAAGATAACAGAATGAGTTAAAAACAAGTAAGAAAATTATATTCGATCGTGAACGAATCTTTTATACCCATCACCGCTGTTCGAAAAAATACAAAAAACAGAAGAAATGAATTTTCATTCCCTATAATATGGAGGGGGCTCGGCTGATTTTCTCTATTTTCAAAATAAAAGTTTTTGATCCATATATGTGTTGGCCTTGTAGGCATGTCCTTGGAATATTTTATGTCGCTTTTAAATTCTTTTGCAAATTTGTAGGCGATATCATCATTTTCGCTAAGGTGAGAATGTGGACCGCAAACACTACAGACTTGCAAAAACAGACAGGCGGATGTGTTATTGAGCACTACAAATTTGAAACTGTTCAACAATTTATATCCTTTATGATGTCCTTGAAGATTTTTTCTGCGCAGCTAACAAACTGAGTAGGCGTGGTCATTTTTTTTCCATTTTTATGCACGAGCTACAGCATCGTTCAAATTTTTCTACATTTATCTGCTATAGTTTACGAGGGATGAGCAACCAACTTTTTAGTGCGTTTGAAAAACAGACAGGTTCTAAGATGGGCTGTTGTAGGCGTGTCCTTCGATCGATTTGGCTCATTTTCAATAACAGCCTGCTTGCAAGAGGATCCAATGTTTCCGGCAAATTTACGTCTATGTCTTAATTTTTGCGGCCAAGAGAATGTTTACAATAGACATTGCACAGGCGGCTTAAAGCGATTTAGAATTTGATGCTGATCAAGAATATATATACTTTGCGGGGTCCCTGATGCTTCCTTCTGAACGTTGCAAACGTTTTGACAAAATGAATATACCCCTCATGGGTAGGTATAACAAGTAAGAACGATATAGTCGGGCATGGTCGGCAGTTAGATACCACACAGTATTTGCCCGCAAACAATTCGTCTCTATTTTCATGTGAAAATATCAACAATTATACCTTATTTCTATCTAAAGGCACAGTTTTAATAAGGAACCCTTACATGAGAGAGCCGTCCATGTTGTAAATTAAGTAAAATCAATCTTTTTGTCAAGTCCTAATTATTATTCATCTATTTTCGTCACGGCGACCCAAAATATAGACTTTGTTGCCATAGGGAAGTTTATCTTTCATGAGTGCACTTACTGCGAAAAATAGATCCACGGTGTTCAGTTAATATCAACGTCAAACATCTATTATGGACCAATTCTCTTCATAAAATATCAAAAATCAGACCTTTTTGCCAAAGAAAAAAGATTTACTTTTCGTGAGAAGCCCCATACGCAAAGCTGTCCGAAAAAGAGACCACCATGGTTCACGTTCATTGCAGTCAAGTCTTATACCAAACTACTCTTATGGATCATCTGTTATCATAAAATAGTTGAAATTAGATTGCCTTGTTATATAAAGGTATATTTTTGATGAGAAGTGGACTCCAAAAAATAGACTTCCTTCTTCCAAGTTCGAATTGATTATTGAAACGGTACCATGAAATCTTGAAAAATACACATTTTTGGCATATGAAAGCTTAGTTTCTGCAAGAGCTAAGAGGGGGTTCAAAAAACTTCTTCGTCCAATTCAAGCTATTTATAATCCGTTCACTATCCCGCTATTACTCAGCTATTGTTATGGAGAAATTTTGATGATTCCACTTATTTCGCATATAGTGACCGATCAAAATAAGAAGTTCTGCGTAGATTTGTTGAAATAATCATCCAATTCGGTTCGAAATGTTCTTCTGGGTTTTGCAAATCTTTTGACGCAATGAATACACTCCATGTTCGTTAGCGGCGGGTACAAGAAAAACAAAGCAACCGCATCATCACTGCTGCTCTTGTTAAGCTTAAGGAAAAGCATTTAGTGTAAATTTTCCAAGTGAAATATTGAAACGAGCATCATCCTGTCATTAGGGGTAGAACTAAAGCTACAGAAAAAAAGAAAAAAAACAAAAAAAAATAATATATAAAAAATAAATAAATAGGACATTAACTGAAAGCAAATGAATCTTCGGAGTGAATGAACTTTTTTTCATTTCCCTTTTCTTTATTTTTTTTTTTTAATAATAAAAAACCTTTAATTTTAATACAAAAATTTTATTACCTTCACGTTCTATTTTCTTTTTTTATTTATTCTAATAGTAAAACCGTATGCTCTCTACTATTGCTATTCGAAGAATTGCAATCAGCCGTTCATCGCAACCTATAAAATAATCCAAAGAAAAGAAACAAAAAAAAAAAAAAACGGTAAAAAGAAGTAGAACATTTCATCTCAATGACTTCAATTGTCTTCAATGAAAATAATGTGAATGAACTGTAATTATCTTTTATAAAATAATAAACGACGCAATAAGCCGCCATCGCCGATGCCATATCGTCACCCTTACCAACCATCGCCCATTCAAATGTGAAGTGTTCATCATTCATTGAAAGGCAGGCCGAGGGGGCATCATCGTACGCGTTCTTCTATAACGATAATCAGCGTCTCAGCGTCATTAACGAAATTGAGCATCACTTGACTAAGTCACTGATAAGATAATTTGTTTAATTATTCGCGAACGGCATAAATTTCCAAAGTAAACTTTTCATCACTCATCCAACCGAACGTCTATATGAGATACATAAATCAACCAACCGATTAGGTTATTATATGAACTCGTCAATCAATCCTCTAAACTAGTCAACCAACCAATCAAACAACAAACTGCTGTGTCTTTGTTTTTCTTCTTTATTTTTATTATTATTATTATTTTTTTTTTATGTTTATATTTAAAGTTGAAGTTGTTGTGTTCCATTTTAATTCAATCAAATTTCATAAAAAGTAAAAATGCCATCGCTTAGGCAAAAGGTTACAACCTATTTTCGTCAATTAAGTTTCATTGCTGAGCCTCGTGATGGCCCTAAAAGTCCACGCAAAACGGAAGACGATGGCAATTTCATTACAAAATACTTGGAGGGGTAAGTAGTAAACGAACATAATTCAATTATTTTTATACTCTACAACGCTAGTAATAAAAGCGTTTAATATTTTTGAAGGCATAACTTTTAGTTTTACCAAAGCACATATTTATCGTTTGTGGGTCTTTACCGATATCTGCCTATGTATTGGTCATGATATTTCCTTACGATCTTCGGTACACTGATAGTTTCCTAATCGAAACAATACACTCTTAAAAATGGATAAGATCGAAAATTGATTCTGCATAAATATAAAGCTGTCTGTTTGGCTGTCTGTGTGTTTATCCAAAGTCTATCCATTTGTATGTACACCCACCACCTAAAACGGTTGCAACACCTACAACCAAAGATGCATTCACTTCATATTGTAAAGACATATTCGTAAAACGAACGGGTTGGCCACTCTGCTAAAAATATTACAAATTGGAAAGAGAACTTATATTCCGCCCTATTTGTACATAGTGTCTTTTATATCGTAGATGGACCTTTGATCCGACTTAGCTTTTTGCTTTGCTGACTAAAGTTATAAGCTCACAGCCATGACTTGAATGGACGGATAAGCTGACAGAGGGACAAACAGTTCCGCAGTGCACACCAATGGACAATACACACCTTTCACCCATGTGGTATATTTGTATATATTATAAACCATAAGACAAGTTTCTCGTAACCCTGTGCTTCCTACAATGAATCAACTTTTCTACTCCCTAGCCGCATGGATCGCATTTTCACGCCGGCACCCGTCATCTATAACGGACAAAATCCCAGCGATATGCCCGAATTGAAAATTTCAGCCTACCCGACCGGACCGAATGCAATTACGGCCGCTTGCACGGGCCCTGACGATGGTTTGACGGGTATTAAGCGATCAAAGCTACATTTGAGTGCCAATTATGCTGATGATATAGATTTCATAGATACCATACAAGAAAGCGATTGTTTCGAAGTACGAAAGAGTATAAACACCAGCAATGCACGCAATCATAATAAATTTCAACGTATTAGTGGAAGTGGTCGTAGGGTTAACGCTGCGACATCGACCAGCACAAATGATCACAATACTAATAAGACAAGTGGCAGCATAAGATCACGTAAAAATTCCAAAAGTAGTATAAACAGTTTGACAGCCATTACTAATGCCAAAGATACAGGATCGAGTGCCGCAAAAATGCATCAAAAAAATGAAGAAAACTTAAATAAATCCACCACAATAGTGGTAAGTATGGTGAGCACAAAGCCGTTAAACACGGAGAGCATAACCACCGATTTGGTTACAACGGATGCTGCCAATGATCAAAATAATAAAAACTTATTAAACACTAAGACTGAGTCAACTAATAAAGCGATCCGAGATACGAACATAGCACAAAATAATAAAGACTTAGTTCTGAGTGGTGAAAATAAATCCGAAGTAAACAATGAGAAATTATTAGAGGCTACAACAGAACGTCTATTACGCGAGGCGGTAACTAGTCAAGCACCTAACATATTGGATGATTCAGTGGCAGGTGTAAGCAATTGGAAAATGGAATGCGACTCTGCTTATGGTATATCGGTTTCCTTATATGAAAATAATATGCTTACGAAAGAACCGATGGGTAACCCTATAGCCGATTGCTATGGGATGGTTGTGAGAAGTAATGCAGCTGCTATGGCTTTGGCAGACGGTGTTAATTGGGGTGATGGGGCTCGTTTGGCGGCCCGTTCTGCTGTTCATGGTTGCCTTGATTACCTAGATCGTGCTATCTTTGGCTTAGCTCAGGAATGTATGGCGACTTCAACCCAAGAAGTATTTGTTAGCCTTTTACGAAGTTTATGGGAAGGACATGGTTGTATACTGGAAGTTGGCGGTGCATTAAGCACTCTCACTATTGCGGTGGTACTACCTTTAGTCAGGAATCAAAGTGAAAACGATGATAGCGGCGACCCTAACGAGGGAGAAAAGGAAAAGTACGTGGTATGCGCTTGCAACGTTGGAGACTCTTTGGGGTACGTGTATTCTAAGAAGCATGGTGTCAGAGAGTTTACAATGGGTAAGTAAGCAATGAAGAGAGAAGGAAAAAGAATAGAGAAGGAAGAAGAAAAGGTCCTCGTGGATCTTAATATGATATTCAAAATATGGCGTTTACACCGCAAGTCTTAGCTCATGCATCCTGTATATGTTGACCTAGGGTCTAAAAACGTATCACTTCATTTTGTGATTTTTATTGTGAGCTATTAGCATGACCAGGCTAATGGTTAGAGAGAAAAAAATAGCGAACTAAAATGCGGCTGCAACTTGGTAACTCTATATCCAGTCGGTATCCCTTTAACGATGGAGCATTCACTCTAATGGCGGTCGCACGCGACCTTTAATTAAAGTTCCGATATGCCGAGTTGATAATCACAGATGTTATTCACTGGTCCAGCGTCCGGTAGCCCTTCGTTAGTGAGTTGCGAATTTTTCGCTTGTGCCTATGCCTATTCTAATATTTTGTTTACTAACTGACAACCCTGACAAATCCAATGTTTGTGGCATCAAAAATGCTAAATCGTAACTTGCAGTCTTATAATCGATTTTACATATTACGATACCCATCAGAACGTTTTCCATTACTTCTCAGACGTAATTGACTCATTACTCACTCATTAATCTAATCAAAGATTCTCTTGTCCATGTTACAGCTTCTCACGATATAACTTCAATGCGGGACATGCGTGATGCTCTGGGCGCCTTGGGTCCGGCCGATGGCAACAAACCGGAACTCAGTAATCTAACGCTATCCATGACTACAATTGAACGCGGTGACATTGTGTTTCTAACTTCGGACGGTATTAGTGATAACTTTGATCCGGTGGTGGGTAAATTTGCTGAAGCTTGGACCACCGATATACAACTATTATCTAGCAACAAGCATTTGGGTTTGGCAACAAAAACGCAAAATAAAAGTGCTTCAACTTTATACCAACGTATGCATAGCGTAAATAATCAATTAAGTCCTCTACCCATAAAAGCACCGGTCCGTCCACAACGCACGAAAAAGGCTGCCTCCCCGGAAACAGCACCAGCTTCTAGTCGACCCAAATATATGCGCTCACATACCGTCATAGAACCGAGATGTTTATCGTCAACGCTCAATAACCACACGTTAATGCTATCGCCGCGACCATTTGAAGCTCCAACAAGAGCTATAAAAATACCCAAATCATCAACGGGTCTACCATTGGTTACGGGGCCCCAAAGACATGCTTTAACTTTATATCGCTTAGAGGACTTACTTAGCTATGGGATTAATGGTACATTTTCGCCCTGTGTATCGGCTAGACGTCTATGTCATCTTCTAATTGACTTTGTGCGTATGATCACCTCGGCAAGACGCAAGACTTTAGAGCAAAGGGAATTGTTTTATAAACTTTCCACCGGTCCAGATGGAGTTAAAAGGGAAATCGAATTGAATCGCATGCAACATCGTGCAGCACGTAAACGCGTTATTGATAGTACGACATTTTCAGCGCTACCCGGAAAGCTGGATCACGCGACTGTAGTTGCATTCACGGCCGGCACTTATCAATCGGGAAATAAGATAAATGTTAACGTAAATAAGATAACAACGATAAACACGAATAGCAGTTGTAATGCAATTATAGCTCCTTTACAAACGAAAGAATTTCAGGAAACAAATTTCTAAGCATTGCATGGGAATTTATGAAACGATAAAAGACGAAAACGAATACATTTCAGGAATTGCGGAAGCAAGCGAATTGTATTTTTTATATGAACAATGTGTGCTTTAAAGAAAACAAGGATATAGGAATAGATTCTTTTTTTTTATCAAACAGAAGGCTTTTTTCCTGTAGAGCTTAGGCTAACTGAAATTTTGTGCATTTTTTATAAAACCTAATGTAAGCTAAAATCTTATCTAATAACTATATTTAAACGAACAATTGCACAGCTTTTAGAAGAAGCATTAAAAGTAAAATATTGGGAAGGAATTGGTTACCGAAGTGAAAGGAGAAACAATTCAGATTAAAAATACATCCAAATCTTTTTTTACACGGTCGTTATGGATACCGAAGTCAAAGGAGACACAATTGAGATTAAAAATACATGGAAAACTTTTTTTATGCGGTTTGTTGTGACCCGATTTTGAAATAAAACGGTTTACAAAGAAGAACACCATTTTTAAGCGGATTTTTTCTTTTAATGCGAATTCCAAAAAAATGTTTCTCTGTAACTCTAATTTTGACAGTGTCTTACAGAAGCCTGTGTATAATCGAACAATTGCACAACCTTTAGAAGAAGAATATACAATAAAAATACTGGAAAGGAATTAGGTACGAAGTGAAAGGAGGGAGAGTGTAGATTAAAATTACACCCAATTCTTTTTTTATCGCATTTTGAAATAACACGGTTTCCCGATAAGAACAAATAGCGTTTTTTACACAAACATTTGGTTGTAGTATGCACTCCAAACAAAAATTACGGACACTTACGTGTGCAGCAACAAAATACAATGGAAGGTATACTATGATCGGAAGTCGTTCGGTTTGTGCCCATACAAGTATTAATTGACTTAATCTGTATGTAAGATGGATTTCATTACCACTTTTTTTGCGCGGTTTTTTGAGAAAATATTTAGAGTTTTTTTATCTTTTTTTTTGGAATTGTGGGACGTATCTCTAACTTTGCCAAATTTTGAATATATATTTTTACATGAGTTTTTTTGCGCGGTTTTCTAAGAAACGTACGTACCGTGTAAAAGAAGAGTTCGATGTAGAATAAAAGCCAGTAAACTGTAAAATGTTTACGTAAAAGATCAATGAGAGCTTGAAAGCTTGAAATTTTAAAAGCGTTTCAATCACGACAAATCTGAGCTTCATCACCTTTAACTACTAGGGTTAACTTAACACTTGCGAATTGTTTAGAGACTTTGGAAATGAGAAATTAACTTTAAGAAAAATTGATGCCGAAATCAAAAGAAGTCTGAAAAACTAAAAAGCGTCTCTTTAACAATCAGAGCTACCTTGCCCGTGTATAAAAACTTGACAAACTTGAGAATTATCCTCTAAAAAAAAAAAAAAAATTGCTTAAAAATTCTTTCTATATGTGTGTACATTTAAATCACATGATTAAAGCATATATTTTTAATTACAACTAAGAAAGAGTCATCATAAAATATTTTTGGTATAAAAGAGTGAAGCATTTGAAAGCTTAAAAGCATATTTTAATAAAAACGGAAGAAATACTTATAAAACAAAAAAAAAATAAAAATAAAAATTACATAAAAGGAAACATTCTTGAAGTCTTCTTATTTGTACGTAGCTCATCATTCAAGGATACATATTGCCTTTATCCGCACTTGCAGGCAATGTCAATGCCTCTTGTGAATACATGAATGAATGGTAAGTGATGGATGGCCACTGCATTAGGCCAAGCTCTTTGATAACTTGTATAATAGAAACGATATAATTTCTCTATTCGCTCATCACATATAATACAATATTTTGTATATTGATGGGAATTTTCGCTTTTGCAATAAATAGATGACCATCCGTTTAAACCAATTAACAGTTTTCATGTTAACTCAAAACATTTTTTCCCCCTTAAAACTTAATTCCTTTTAGCGAATCTAGCATCATAGCCTATTAAATAATAAAAAAATGTTTGCATACGTGCCAGTGGGAAAGACCACTGCTGGTAGCAATTTCCAAAGGCTTTGTCTTTCTTAGAGTTTTACTCACATTGACATGACGTTACATACAGTTTATTTAATAATACAAAAAAGCGAGGAATAGTGGAACATTTTTATTGATATCCGTTTTATTATGCCCTACACTTCTTGCGGTGGTGCAAAGTTATTTAGAGTTTGTGTGAATGTGTACAACACTTAGCAGGATATCGGGGAAATATTTAGTAAAAATGTTTAAGAAATCAAGGGGAAAAAATCATTCCGCTTAGTCAACTTTTAATTAAGAATATAGTTGAACAAATACTCCTGCAATTTTATAACCCATTTATGGTAAAGGATATATTAAGCTTGTGCGGACAAATGTAGAAGGATTTAAGATAAATCCCCTTTATACGGATCGGCTCCTAACCATATTCTAACTTTGTCTGACCAAGTGTCATATTGTTGAACCTACATACCACAATAATTTCGATATTTTGATGAAATTTGGTACATCTACATGTTTTGGTCCAAGCACGTACCCTATTGAAAGTGGTTCGGATTTGTCAATTTTTTTCGGCCACTTCCCATATAAAACTTTATTTTAAAAAATCATTATATGAATAAATTTTAAGCAAATAATTGTGTAGGGTATTTAATTGTAGTGCGTGCCCTCGCGTAATAAGGCCACTTCATCAACATTCTTACATGCCGTATTAATAATTTAATCATTCGGACTGAAAGGCCGCAATTAGCTTACATTGCTTGGTTATTTTTTTAAGTTTCAACTCAAACAAATCTTACTCCTTTAAAAATATAAATAATTTGCGAAAAGCGGTTGCATAGTTTAATTCACAAGAAAAACCAAAACACCTCAACCGGAATAAGTTGAAACTGGGCCACATTCATGAAAATGTTCTACACTTTAGTAATGTTTTTCGGGAACAAGCAAGGATGAAGCCGATGTACTAAGGCAAGGGTTGTAAGCCGTAAGTGAAATCGCTATAGCAGACCACGACCCCCCATTCAATACCCTACACTACTCTTTAGGTATTCACGTAACGACTTTTCAAAACAGGGATTGCAATGGGCCGCGGCCGCTATTAAATACCACACACCACTTCACTTAACACAGTTATTCATACAACAGTTTTAAAGGTAAAGTGTTATACAGGAAGTGGCGGAACAAGTGGTCCAATTTGAACCATTTTCATCAGCGCTCACCATTGAGTCAAAAAATATCTCAAATATCTCTAAAATTGAGGCCTGTAGGTTGAACACAAAGAAACACAGACAAGCTTAAAAAGAAAGTTGAATTTTAAAATAAAGATAAATCCTTTATATGGGCGAGGGTCGATCTGAACCATTTTGAATAAGGTTCATCCTTGACCAAAAAAACATTGAAAATTATGCCTATGTTGAAAGCGAAAAAAAACGCAAGACGGACCGATGGATAGGCAAACTTAAATAATTCTAAATCCATCGGTATAGTAAAAGGTTGGTCCATCTCAAGCTCTCCCTTTCGCACGAATTTAACATGCCCCTGTACCTTGTAACTTGCGTAGAACAAATTCTAAATATTCAAGTCGACTTTGCAAGATGTATAAAACTTTAAACGCTAGGGAGAAGGTTTTCTTAAATCTCGCTTCAGTGGCAATAGAGCACTGCATTATTCTTTTTTGGTTTACCTGGTCACCTTAACGTGTTTAAATGATTCGTTTTTTTTTTTTTTTTTGTTTTTTCTCTTCTTCAAGCACAAGTTTATCTTTATTACAAAATCTTTTTTGTCAAGTACAAGAAATATGGATTTTTGTTTTTTTCTATTGTTCTAACATTCGCATAAACCTCACCTCTTAGTGTAAGACTTTGCTTTTGACCAAACTTACAAAAAAGGCAAAAAGAAAAAAAAAACAAAAACAGAAAAGCAAAAAACCAATGGTTCTATTATGTAGACCAAGCGAAGAGATGCAAATTAGTATTCAGGTTTCCTTCCGTCTTTAAACAACATTTTCGAAATACAATAAGAAATTTTCCCCAAAAACAAAAAAGAAAAGAAAAACGAAAATTATTTGTTTTGAAACAGGTATAGAAATGAGTCTTAATTTACAAATCGAGAAATTACGTGGTCTGGACAATTACAAGCCTTGGTCTATGACGGTGCGAGCTTATCTGGAATCGGAGGATTTATGGACTGTCGTTGAACATGGTCCAGATTCATCAGAACAGGTATTAAGAACTCATTTTTTTAAACTTGTTTCAAATTAAAATTTAAATAAAACATAAAATTATCATGAACAATGAAAGTATAAAATTTTTTAAATTAATTATAAATAAATATTAATTTAATAAATGAATAAAGTAATACAATTAAAGAAAATTAGTGAAAAAATTGCCTGAAAGTAAATTCTGGTTAAGCATTCTTTTAAACGGACATTTATTAATTATAATATATCTAAGCGATATATACAGCGCAGCAATTAATACTTCAATCGCTTAGAAGGGTTCCTTAAGAAAAATCCGATGAATGTTTGAAACACATTTTAAATCATTCTCTGACATCGTCTCATCCAGCCGCTAGATAAGTGAAACACAATGAAATTTTTGATTTATTTCCAAAAAAATAAAGAAAATGATGGAGCAATGGCGTAAATTTTTATGACCGTAACCCTCTCAAAATCTTACTCTTCCTTTTTTGGCTTTTCTCTCTTTTACCAGTTTTAAGCTTAAAATTGGTTGGTTGGCTTAATCTAGGCTATCTAATCTAATCTATCTCAGATGGACCAAAAATTTGCAAGCTTTGGGACTTATTGAGAATCTTACCTAAAAAACTATTATCGTGACTTGGCGAGTGCTGGTTGGTTAATTGGCCCAAATGAAAACGTCATCTGGACTATGAATCGAGCTTTGTTAAGTCGATTTAAAATTTACACACTTTAAGGATTATTCAGAATCTTATCTAGGAAACTATTATCCTATTATCCTGTTGACTGGTTTGGGACGTTGTCCACCTTGATCATTCTTACAAACATTCTCGATAAATTTCATTTATACATATTCACTTTACTACTTGTAATCCATAGATTTATTAAAATTTTCGGGATCTTCGGATGGAGTGATAAGTAAATTTTTTTTTTAAATTTGATACGAAGACTTCAATTCCAATTTTACGTTTCTTCTTTTACGGGCTGTAAGCGTAATTTTGTGTTGCGGGTTCATATTCAAAATTAATTTGGATTATGTTCGCTAAGATTTAAGATATCTACCAACAATCGCAGTTTAATAGATCAATTAGGAACAAAAGACGACTCGAAGTTCCTATATATCGAGCGATCTCCCAGGCAGCTTTTTGGAATTTGTAAAACAAATGATAAGAAAATTATCGCTTCCCTATTCTATAGCTATGGAACGTTAGGTGAATAACTGAGAAGTCTTTATAGGCAGCCTAAATCGGTTAATCGGTTTGCAACCTGGGACAAACACATGTAAGTCGAAAAGATTTACTTCGAGTGCAGTCGTGGTCGTGGTAATCGGAGTGGCCTATATCATAATAGTGAAGTCGTCCTTCTATAGCCATCAGAGAATGGAGGAGGCACATTAATGTCGCCAAAATGTTAACATCAACCATAAGGAACCTTTCAGCACTCTATAACGTTCTTGGTAGGGACGAAATTCTGAATCGATCGAAGGAATTCCGTCCTTTCTTCCGTTCTTCCGTCCCTGTAATGTCTAAACAATCTTGATAGGAATGAAATTTGAATCGATCTAAGGAAGTTGGTCCGTCCGCCCGTTTATGCAAGTTGTTCTCGTAGTTGGAAATGAGCGAAATGGATCAAAAGAGACGCCCACTGCCCAGTGTAAACGGAGAACATCGCTGTTTTCAAAAAAAAAAAACTAAACATGAACTACGTTGTATATGCAAGAGCTGCCGCGTGTACGAAAATGAAAATCCCCAATCAATGCTATAGTATTGAAATTCGTCTTTCTTTTGGACGTGGAGACGATTCTGGCAGAATTTGAATATTTGAATATTTAGTTAATAACTATGCAATAAAATTAAACTGCAAGCTTTCCAGACTTGCTTTTTACTTCCATTACGTCCCTTTATAATTTAACCCGATCTGTTGCTGCGTTAATGCAATAATATAATGAATTTCTTAAATCAATCTTTTCTATGATTATGAGGAACGAACATATTGAATGGACGAACACAACTAAATCGACGGAGTACATATGCAATTTTTAACTAAAAAAATTTTTTCATTTTCAATTTCAGAGTTTGATTAAGGATAGACGTGCCAAATTCATAATATTATGTTTAATTGAACAGAAATTATGTCAATGTATGGTCAGCATACGTTCAGCTCGCGATTTATGGTCTTATTTAAAACAACAGCATTCAATGCGTTAAATATCGTTGGATTTCTTTTCTTAAAGTTATTAATTCAATAATATAATATATAAATGTATATATATATATTAAAATCATTTATCATTATAAAGTCTTGCACTCAAAAATATTAAAATAAAATGTAAAAGAATAACTGTTTAAAGAACTTTTTTCTTGAGTGGACATATAAGCCATACTTATTGGCTCAGTCCAGTTAATCTTAAAAAACAAATAAAAAAGAATTTTTGTAAAAATTTTCTTTTTTAACCTTAAACATAAAACTATTAATATTGTAAACTACGTTTAGTACAAATGTCATCGAGTATCTGACGCAATTCCTCATCTTCGAAGCGGCCCTCCAAAGAAGGTATTAATGCTTTAGCTTCCTCAGGAGCTTCTGGACACAGATTACCCAAAGCGGCCAATTCAAATTTATGTAATTTTTTCTGCATTAATAAACTATAATATAAAAAAAAAAATATTTTTTCAAAAACGATAAAAAAAAGGACAGAAACAGGTATTAAAGCTTGCGATTTTAAAACATTTCTCAATTCTTTTAATTTTTCCACCATGTGTTATACGTATTTGGCACGCTCCTCCTTACCTATGTTATTACATTTAAGAAAGTCGTTCTTGGTGTTGACCAAGTTAGGTGTGGACTTATTAACGCAGTTTACATAAAGTAAACAATTTTTATTTGCGTTATGCTGCCAAAGTTCGATGCAAGTGCATGTTTCATCTTGCTTGGGATGTATTTTTAGACATCTAAAGAATGGTATGTTTATACTCTACACCACTCGTAGCACAAAGTGCACGAATATACCAAATTTTTGGGGATATATGTAAAAGATTTTTGGGAATGTACATAGAAGGACTTGAGGTAGACCCATCTTTTATTATACCGATCGAGAAAGTGATACTGAATCTTGTCTGTTCGTCTGTCTAACTCGTTTTTTTTTTTTTGTATTCAACCTTTTGCGACATTTTGATGAAATCGGGCAAATCGACATATTTCGACTCAAGGATGAATCCAGTTGGAAATGTCTTACATTGGATTACTTTTTCCTTCGCTTTATACACAACAAATTATTGTAAAAAGCCTTTATATGAATAACTGTAGCGTGGCGTAGTGTATTTCATGGTGAACGTGTCTCAGTTTCAATTGACATAAACTCACCTGCGTACGGCTGCTATGGTTTCTTTGTTTTTGAATTTTCGAAAACTATCCGTATAGGCATAAGTTTTCATGAAAACTTCCGAAAATTCTTGCTCTTCGTCGGCCGATTCATTTTGCCGTTTACGATGATCCAACAACATGTGTACCTCAGATATGAGTAAGGTTTCGGCACTTTCAAATTCTTAAATATAAACAAAATATTATTAAATACATTTTCTTATTAAATTTGGACAATTTTTAAAAATAAGTTTGTTTTAAATGTAAATAAACAAGCGCCAGTTTATACGTGAATCGTAATGAAATTAATAACTTTTATTGATATGACCGTGTTCTATGAGAAAATCAAAGATTTGTCGCGTTTTATTAACATCTATTTTTATGAGACGTCTTGCGTCGGCCAACTTAATATGACCTAATTTGCAATTTTCGCTTATGAGAAGATTTTTATAATCCAAATAAGCTTGAGGTACTAAACGAACCACACTGCATAATTGTCGTTCGGCCTCGTCAAGTTTAACAAAACCAGGCAAACCTGAAATATACAAATATATATATACGTATGAAAATGTTGTTAACACATTCCTCCAAAATGGAAACTCTTAAATAACACACCTATTATATCTATGGGTCCGGCCTTTTTTCTTGGAACTGTGGCAAGTGTAGGCTGTATTAATTTATCCGCCAACTGCTTATTATGGATAGTGGGCAGTAATTTACGCCAGTCATATTTATAGCGCAAACGTTCTATATTCTGTTGTTCTTTTTGGTCATGTAAACGTTTTCTTTTCATTTTGAAATATATGCCCGCGCCTGTCAAAGTACGTACACCATTTTCTCTTAATTCATAATATCTACCAAAAAGAAGTAAATGAAACGGTATTCAAGTTAACTGCATGCTATTACTGCGGACTATGTTTTCATAGTAAATTAGTTTTGTATTTAAGAAACATTTGGCAACACTATCAAGGTAATCCGCTATGCAATCGTTTATCTGACACTGTAATCCATATGCAAATAAGAGGTACCATAGGAACAATTGAAGCTTCTTCAATAAAATTCGAAGTGAGTCATACTGTCATAATTAGAGAGGATTATACTTAGAAAAGGGTGCCAGGGATATTTGCGCCGCTTATGAACAAAAAGCAACAACGAATCTGTGGTTCCATTGCGTTTTTTCTGTAAATTTCCGTGCTACTCCATAGCTTACCTTGCTAAGGAACCACACAAACATCACAAGATAATGTGAAGTAATTTATAAAATATTAACAATAAAAAGAACCGATTCTGCGTAACAAACTCGGACCATCTGTCAAGCATTAAACGCCACCTTTACGTACCGAAACAACATTTTTTGCAGCTCAGTAAAATATTTCAATCCCTCTAACAGCAGATCAAATTGATAAGGTGTGCACAGTTGCATGAAGGCCAGAAATCTTTTACAATTTGTTTCGGATAATAAGGCATCAGCATATTTAGTTATCCAGCTTAAAGAGCGGTTGGCCATGATTAACCCATGAGCGCGCATAATTTCATAACGCCGTTGTCTTTCTCTAAAAATCAATAAAGAAAATTAGTTTATTGCGCTTTGCTACGAAACCTACAGATTTCCACTTACTTTAAGCGATGATTATATGCTCTTACTAAAGCACATTTCAGTTCTTCAATGAGGAATCTATCCTGACTATAATCTTCCTCCTCTACTATGTCACTTAAGTTATCATCGGCTTGTAGTATCATTGTCAGCAAATTTTCAGCTGATACGTCATATGGTGTATCGAAATCCCCGCGTGCACAACGGTATCCGGCCATTAATTTAAATTGCATAGAAGCTATATCGTCATGTCGAGGCGGATCTACTGATCTCATTTTCACCATGTAAGGTGTCCGTTGGGGTACATAACAATTTTCGATATGCTGCAAACCCAATAAACGTTCGAATATGCCACCAAAATAATAATCATGATAATGCTGGCGACATTCAGCGGCAGTGAAGCGATATTGTAACGATTTGGCTATCGCGTCCCAATTACCGTAGCCTTGCACCCGTAAACTTTCCAACAAACAACGTTCGTCTTTCGCTGTCCAATTAGCCGCACCGGAAAACACTTGTATATCATCTTTTATTATAATGTAAGAATGATTGTTGCGATGTTTTTCGGTTTCGCAACCTTTGGCGAAACACTCCAAGCATAATATACTTTCGCATTCGGGACATTTAATATAAGGTTCTCGGACACAATTTTGACAAGCACTACACAATAATCTCACTTCTTGAATCTCCTCCACTTGATGTTTACGATTTTCTTCGAGCAAACGCTGCAATTGTTGAGCGTCGTAATAAGATATTTTGTATTTGGTACCCTCGTCTGCCAGAGCATTTAACATCTTCCGTTTCTTTGTTGATAAATTTCCTATAAAAAGAAATCATTAAAGTTTGCCTTCTAAAGGCAAACAATTCTCGACCAGAAGAAAAAATGTTTTTAAGACAAATCTGGCGCTTATTTACTTCTTTTCTATTATCATTATTTAAAATCCGCTCTGATACTACCTTTAGGAAATTGCAAATCAGCAGCATCCTCCTCGACCATGTCAACTGGATTCATATTGTTTTTTTTTAAGGTAACCTCTCGCGTTTTTTATTAAATTCACGAATTAATAGCGAAATTCATTTAAAAATTATTAAGAAATTTTCCAATGCTTTCTCCTAATATCACAAAACGTATTAAAGTACTAAAAGAAGCCGACAATAAATGCTGCCAAGTTTAATTTTTTCACATTTTTCGGTAAGCAAATATTAAGGGAGACGACATAATCATTTTAGATGCTTTGAATCAACTATTAAGGAAGAGATTCAACAATTTTATATAAATTTCTCCAGAAAAATTATAAATTAAAAACAGAAGTTGCAGAAGCCAAAATTAGTTTTAACAAGACTTTTGGGTGACATGACCAAAGATTATAAATAAAACAAAAGTTACGTGTATATCAAGCAACAAATGCGTACACAAAGAAATTCTTCCTGGGCTTCACCGACTTCGGCAATTCACATCTAAAGTAACGAAAAAAGAAAAATTTAATTTCTTTTGATATTTATTAGCTTCGCCAGACTCTTTCTATATTGTATGCAGAAAATATGAAAAAATTTTTATCCGTGTGTCGCTTGTAGCTTATATTCATACCTTGGTAAAAAACTTGTAGATGTTTTTTTTTCTTCCCTACCTTGTTTCTTGTTGTTGGAAAGAACCCGATGAATGGCAAATAGAATGAAATTTTGCAAGATGGTTTATTTTTGTCGCAAGTGCTTCATGGCTGCATAAATAAATCCTACGACGTATATTACGCTCCGTAAACATCTCTACCTTATGAATAAGGAACACAAAGCCATTCTTATTTTCTTTTTGCTTTTACAAACAAAGATTTTCTCATTTAATGTTGAACATCAGACATGTCCCATAAGCGACTTGATGCATTTCTAATATAAACGCGCCTGTAAAAACTTCCAATATTTTTTCTAATGAGGCATACACGAGCGTTGTACTGTGATCGTAAGCTAAAATACACAATAGGCGCTTGAACAAAAAGAAATGGACGTATGCACTAAATATCTGTATTGAACTTTTAGGAAATATTCAGCTCTGTCCTAAGCTTTAAATATTTTTAATAAATTCACCAAAAGAATAAATTGAAAGGAAATGATATTCAAAGCCGTACGTAAACAGTTTATCCACATTACTTGGTTGAATTAAACAAATTTTAGATGAACCCATAAACCATTTAAATTAAATTGATTATTTTATATGTAAAATATATAATATTGTACATTATTATTTATTATATATTTTAATGTTATCATTAAATTATACAAATATACTTGCAGCAACAAATTTTTGAAATGTAAGCAAATAGCACGCGCAGGCAAATGTAAACAAAATTGTATTCTGCAACAACAACACGGAATTGATAAAGCTCGCAAAATTTTTATTTGAGAAAACCCTTAAGAAATTATCTGCTGTAATTTCGATAGAGAAATGGTGCCAAGTCTCTTCATAAAAAAAGAGTAAACAAATTTTGGTACATTAAATAAGAAGAAGAATAAAAAGAGAAAATCACATTTTTTTACCGAGCCTTTATAAATTTTTTAAAAAATAAAAGAATTAGTTTTCAAAAATATTATTAAAAGGTGATGACCTCTGGTGCTTCAGCTCAAGTAGATGATAATGACCAAAATACCACTGATATTGATAATCTACCCAAATATTGCGATTATTGCAAATTTTTGTTGGTGGAAGAATTAGCATTGGAAACAGATTACCGCCGATTACATTACGGTAAGTGTACTTTAATAGGAAAATTAAAGCAAGACGAAAAAGGTTACAATTATTTGGAAAATGTTCAGATCAATGACATGCCCAGGTAAACTGAATCTTAATCAAGCTGAAGAAACATTTATAAATTTTTCATTTAAAAAAAATAGTGAATGCAGGCTCCCGGAAAGTTGTTTAAATATTCTGCTACATATGTGCAATAAAAAAGATTTCCAGTTCAAATCATCTCATTATTACGAAATTGTTGGAGAAGTAATTTTGTTTAACAATATTAAACCGGAGGAAAACGATGCAAATTTTTTAACTTCTCGCGGGATTGTGGAGCAGGTACAGTTTTTCGATAACGTGAAGAAGCAAGAAAAATTACTGAAGTATTTTGGGGAAAATTATAAACCGGCAGTAAACGTATGGTATGCTCAACCTGTCGCGCGTGCTGGTGACTTAATAACACGCAATTTAGAATTGAGGATAATGCGGCAAAAACTGGAGGAATGAGTCATTTACCGCAATTCTTCCATTTTTCAAAAATTTTATCCTATGATGAGAAAGGTGCAAACAAAGAAAACATTGACAAAATTGTAAGAGAATTCGAGGAAAACTTCCTTGTTTGGCAAACGGACTTTTGGCATTGTCATTGGGCGGAACAAGGTGATAATTTGACACTTGATAAGTGGTACAGAAAGTATAAAGACTTTATGTTGATGACCACAAAAAATCAAAACGAGTATAAACAGGATATAAATTTAGAGGAAAGATCTTTAAAGGAAGAAGAAGAGAACTCTTCAATAAATGCGGAATCATGGAATAATTTATGGCATAAACATCAAGAGGAAATCTATGCCAATCACTTCCTAGCTTTCACTTCAATATTTTATCAATATTATTTGGATTTAAAATACGGCTTGGAAACCTCAATAGAACCTAAAATAATCGTAGAAGATTTTGAATTACATTCAGACCTAGAAACTGTAGAAGAACTAAGCAAAGAACTGGAACAGTTGCAATTACTAGGGCTACCGATAGCTTTTGGACCGCCCAAACAAGCAAGCAAACGAAAAGCGAAAACTAAAGCGACGCCAGAGATTATTGAGTCTATATCCGACACAGGAAGCGAAAGTGGAGAAATGGTTAATAATGATTTGGATTCAAGTCTGCATGAAATTCACGAGAAAACCATTTCAAAAAGTAAAAAGAAAAATCGTTCATTACGTCATGTACCTGAATTTATGGTAAAGGAGAAAGGTTTACTGAAATATTGGCGTCGGCGATTTTCTTTGTTTTCCCGCTTCGATGAAGGCATACGATTGGATCGTGAAAGCTGGTTTTCAGTAACCCCTGAAAAAGTGGCTTTCCATCTAGCTCAGCGGCTTCGTTGCGATGTTCTAATTGATGGCTTCTGTGGTTGCGGTGGTAATGCCATACAGTTTGCTTTCACTTGCCATAAAGTTATCGCCGTTGATATTGATGCGGATAAATTGGCTATGGCTAAACATAATGCTTCCATTTATGGCGTAGGACACAAAATTGAGTTCATATTAGGCGACTTTCTTCATATGGCTGCTCATAATCGTTTAAAAGGCGACGTTGTGTTCTTGAGTCCTCCTTGGGGTGGCCCGAAATACAAGCAACGCAAAAGCTACGACATTGAAGAATATCTACTGCCTGTATCGGCCTCCGAATTAATTGAAAAATCCAGTTTAATCTCAGAGAATATAGCTATTTTTCTGCCTCGCAATGCCCACATGCAACAAATTATTAAACTAGCCGGACCAGGTAACCAATGTGAAATTGAACATAACTATTTGGATTCACGCTTGGTGGCTTTAACCGCTTTATATGGGGAACGATTAGTAAAGAAAGCTTAGTTTCTTCCAATTTGTTTCTGTAATAATCGATAAGCGAATTATTCTTTCTTTTCTTTAAATAAGTTCAATATAAGTTACAAAGCGAGTAACACCTTAGTGTTATGTAAACCTATTAAAATTAGTTACAATACTTGGTACACAACAAATTCACAATAAAAAAAAATAATAATAATAATAAAAATAATTTAATAAGAAATAAGAAACACTTAAATTCTAGTTATACTAGTTATCCAATCTGAGTCATCTTTCAATTTCCTACTTGTACATAGATATATAATATGCGTATAGTATGCGACTACGATTTCAAGATGCGGAAAAATTTATGAGTTCCTCTTTAAGGCTACTTGATCGTGTACGGTAAGCGAACATCCTGAACTTTTCTTGGAACTTAAGAAACCACATGATGTTGCTCCAGTTACTGGGCAAAGGTGCTTCCTCAACATGAGCAAGCAATGTTGTTATTTTACGCGAGACGAAAAAGCTGTCTTTAAAACTTTACAGTTTTCTTTCAGGAAATTTGCTACGAAGTACTCTTCAGTCATGAATCTAAGTAAGGCCGAATCTGATCAAGTCGTAGTTGTTCTTCAAATTTTATACTTTGCTAACCAGAACCATAAATCGATCTCTGCTTAGTATCAGCACGATGGGGGTGCGCTAGAAGAACTTTTTTGTTTTCTTTATAAAAGAGCATTTCCCTTTTCATAGACTATGGAATAGTATGAAGGGAATACTAACCAGCTGAAGAGTTGGGATGTAACACATGTTGATGGTCCCTCGTCGTACATGCTGTAATCTATTGTATTTATATTATCACTATCTATAATATAATCTATAATATTTACATTCTCGGGGCTTTGCATACCAATAGTCGTGTGTTCCCCCGACGTTCCCTCTAAGGTTTCCCTCACTATTTCCCCTACCAGTTCCTCAGTCAATTTCTCTATCAGTCTCATAGTCATTCCGTTTATTATTTCGTCAGTCATTTGTAGTAAGTATGGTAAGAAACGCGTGTCCATTTTCTCTAGAAAAACGTCCGAATCTCTTTCTATTGCAATTATTATTTTACCGTCCGATATTAATTGGTTTGTTAATCTTCCCGCTGCGGGCTGCAACGCGGTCCCCTCTGATTTGTCCAACTTTCTAAGTTGCATTTTAGTTAAGTTTACTTTGTACTGGACGTGTTTTGTGGTAACAAGACGATTTATTTTGTTTGTTAGACTGACGGCTAACTCCCTAGCAGCCACGTCCCAATCTATTCGTGTGCTATCAAGACCCCGAATATGTACGGGCTGGTATGCGCGTACTATTTCGCGAAGGTTCGAGTAAAGGTATTGGCGTCGTTACTCAAGTTTTTCCTCTTAATAGGATCATAGGTCAAAACTAAGTCATGAACGTTTAATTTGTTACAAGTAAGCAACTTTAGTTTAAACAAGAAGAAGAAGAAGATAAATGATGTTTATTATAGCACACAGACGAAAGTTTATTTCATAATATTTGTTTATATAAAATTAGAAATAGAAAGTAGAACTATCCGAGTCTTGACAATTTTGTAACACTTTAAAATTCATATTATTATCATTTGTATAGGGATAGTGCTGCAGGTATTTAATACTTGTTTTCCTCTCCTCCTATTAGGAAAATCATTTCCGTTACGAGTTTTTTTTTTTTTTTTACTGTGATTATTATACCCATCACCGAGTAACGAAATCAATATAATCTTGTCCTTCCGTAATGAATATTGAAAACAGATCATTTGGTAGTTTTTGTTTTCCGAGAATTGCATTAATAATAAAACATCCTGAAAATGGTGCAACTTACCCTTGGGTATGTATAGAAATCTTCCTCTTTTTTTTCTATAAAAAACGAATTAGAGACAAACTAATGACAAATTAACTAACAAACTCTTGGGGACGTTCATGTGATTTGCATAGAAAGGCGAAATAATCGGCTTAGTATTGTATATATTTGTTTATTTTGTTGTTACTTACAAGTTTCAAAAATTTTTTTTTTATAAAACTTAATAAAACTTTATAAAACTTAAATCTAAATAGGTAATAGGTAAAAATAGGTAATAAGTAACATGTCGAAATTTTCAATTTATTCCTTTTCCGCTTTGGAACCATTATTTATTTTATTTTAGTTCTTGGCTAGCTGATAAGATTTTAGGGGTTTTCGGAGTTCATAATGCAGTTCAAATTATTTATATACTACCTAAAGAATATAATGGAAACGGATTCGGGAACACACGTTAAATAATATTAAAGTTTAGATAATCAACGAAAGCTATTGTTATACAAATGAAAAAAATCATTCTAATATTTTACGGTTTGCGTTTCGTTTGATCTCTTTGTTATAAGTTTGTTTTGCTTTATTTTTATTGGTAGTCTCACATTCAATAATTCAGCAATGCACCAAAATAAAATGACATGCACTGAAAAACTACTATGGACGAAATAGAGAAAAATAAGGTATCCTAGGCAAAAAATTATATAGATTAAGTTATAAAATTCACTTACAAGTCAATTATGAAGTTGAAGTTGAGGTTGGAAATAAAAATGTGATAAAAACTTTATATATATTGTTGCGTTTCTTTCTTTTTTTTAACTTTATTCAAAATGTTTGGTGATTATAAAAAATACAATATTAAAATTATCTCATTATCTCCCATATATTTTACAGCTGTTGCTATATTTTACAGCTGTTCATATATTTTACAGGTCTTCCTCTTGCTGGTCATATATTGAGTTATGATGACGGGATATATTCCATACACTTCGATGTGGATGCAAATTTGTTGCAAAAGACAAGATGTTTGTAGATTTGTGTTTTGATCAGCTGATGGGCTAACTTGTAGTTTGTGTTTTGATCATAATTCATGACAGTGCACCGTTTGTCGTTTGTGTTTTGATCATAATTCATGCAAGTGCGCCGTTTGTGGTTTATGTTTTGATCAGCTGATTGGCTAACTTGTGGTTTCTGTTTTGATCATTAAGATATTAAGCCACAAATCTATTAGTAATATTAAAATTTGCACAAGGATTTATTTTATTTCGACTTGTAATAAGTATTAATCGCTTATCTCAGATATTTCAGGTGAAAGTTGGCAGAGTTCTTGTTTTTGCGTATCGAAGATATCACTTTTACTTTCGCTATCCCAACCCTCAAATTTGCCATCTTCTTCAGTTTCTTTGTAATGTTTATGCTTATATTGTAGTGAAAACACTTACTACAGGTTCTTTTGTTTGTTTGAAGTGTGGTCAGTACATTATATAATAAATTATTACGCTAACTTAAGCAAAATAGTACAATTAAACTAGGCTATTACTAAAGCTACATGTAATGTGTGTTATAGGTAAATTGGGTTACCTTAATTGCTGGTGTTGCATTATGTTGAAATGTGTAGAACTGATCTTAACTAGGTTATTGTTAGTCTTGCGTTGTGAGGAAATATAATAAAGTGTAAACTTAGCATAAGTTATTGATAAAGTGGTAGAGTGCGATAAATCGATAATGCTACAATGTTGTAGTAGGTCAATCCATCATTGCCATTGACGGCTTGCTTGAATACTCAAGAAAATGTACAAGATATTTAAACTAGTCGTTTTACGTTCAGGTCCAACGTTTTTTTAACTCTTCAATTTCTCGACATGACGGTCCATGTTTTGGATCCTAGCCTAATAAGGATTCGCACAAAAATCATTTTAATACAGAATGAAAATTTTAGAAAAATTACTTTATTTGTTTTTTATTATCCAATCGACAGCTTCACAAAAATTATCTACAAGAGCTGTAGGTGGTGGTTCGGCTTTAATTTCGGGTAAATATTTGCCAGTTTTAACTTGTATGGCTTTTAAACCAATCTTCATTGCACCCATTATATCATCATTAACATCCTTAAATTAAAAAAACATTTCAAGATGATTACTTGATTGACTGATTTAAAATTTTCATCAATTTTTGCATCTTACATCGCCGATCATAACGCATTCATCTAAATTGACGCCATCGATCAAAGCGTTCTTAAAAAAATACTCATTAGGTTTACCAATTAATACCGATTCGACGCCGGCAGCGTACTCCAGGCCTTTAACGAAGCAGCCTGGACCTAAGGCTAGACCATCCTTGCGTTTATAATATTTGCCTTCATGTATAGCTACCAGTTTAGCATTCTTGTTATTCAATAAAATACTAAAATTATAAGATCGACCTTAAGTAAAAAAAGCGAAAATTTATTCATTTTGTTACTTACTTGAAAGCTTTATTAAGATTTTCATAATAAAACTCGTCCGGTGCTAAGCCCACAACTACTGAGTCTAGAGGGCGTTTATCATCATTATCGGGGAAATCAGTTCGGGCATCTTTGCTAATCAAGTAATACGGATTCAAATTGTTTTTATTCACGTATAACACTGCAGCACTCAACGAGCTATAGATTTCTTCTTTTTGCAATTGAAATCCTATCGCTAAAAGACGATTTAATAAAGTCTGCCTCGATTCTTTAGTGGTATTAGTTACAAACTTTATTGCCACTCCCGAATCGCGTAATCTAAGGAAATAAAAAGCAAGCAGTCGGCATTTTTATGCGAATTGTTTACAACATTATACCTTTTTAGAGCTTCTACTGCATTTGGTGTTGGTTGATCTTCTACGTGCAAAGTGCCGCTAAGATCTACTAAGGCAGCTTTTATTGACATATTCCGTATTCCATCTAAATTTCTAATTTTGTATGGAAAATAATAAAAGTTATTGTATTTTCCTTTGGAGAAAATCCTTTTGATTATTAAACATATGTTTGACATTATTGTGAATGAATTCTTTTAAAAATAATAAAAAGAAACGACATGACCGGACGATATAATAATGAAGAGTTCTAAGCACGCGAAGTCGTCATTAAATATCACTCCGTCCTTTGTGGTTCAAAGGTGAGAAGTCGAAAGAATTGCAGAATTTTATTTAATAATAAATAATAAAAATATATGAGTCCCGTTCACTAAATGCTATTATATTTCTCGTATGTGATTTTCTTTAAAGAGCTTTCGATTTGCTCCTAAATATCATATGCGACAAAAACTCACTTTACGCTTAAAAATCACATTTCTTCTATGAGAATTTTGCAAACTATTTTCTCGCATTTGACTAATTTGTATGCTTACAAATCTTATTTCCTCTATGAGAACTTTGTAAAGTATTTGCTCGCATCCAATTTGTTTTCAATCAGGATAGAATTTATCCGCATTACAGGAGCGGCGCGTTCTCCGTTTTAAACTGTTTAACATATAAATGAAATATAGAACGTATAGGAAAATGAAAAGAAATGCTTGTAATATTTGGTTGAGATTAAGTGATAAGATAAAGCATGAAGAATTCCTTAAGTGATTACGTAGTTCGTTCGATGAAATAGAGAAACAATTTAACAAGGTGTAAAGCTACGAAATCCGTCTGCGCAAGGCAAAAAAGAGGAGGTGGTGGTGAAAAAGCTTACCATTGTCATTGACATTGCAAGCACATCGGGAACATCGTTGATAAATAAAATAAAGAGCAGGGGACCTAAAGGGCCCTTGCGGCACATCAGAAGAAAAGCGTATCATTTCGGAGTGGGAAAATTTATACAGTTTATTCGAAAACAAAACTTTTTTTCCATTTCTAAGAAATCAGTACTTCTTTGTCTCATACTTCAAATTTGATAATTATTGAATTTTTATTCAATGTACGGGCAAAGCTGCGATAATTTTAATAGAAAGCGTGTCAATCATTTATGTGTGTGCGTATGTGTATCAAAAAAATTGATCAAAAAATTTAAGAAGAACATGTCGGAATTAGAAAAGTTAACTAACAAGGAAATAAGAAAAATGTGCCAAAAGTTTGGAGTGCCTAATGTGCCGGTGATGAAAACCACTCGAAAAGTGATTATTAAGCGTTTGGAAGTTGCAATGTCTGATAAAGAATGTTCTACTGCTACAAATGCTAATCATCGCGAAACTGTTCATGCCAGTGCACCTGCGAAAATGGCGTCATCGAGGCTAACAATCACAGACAATAGTAATATCGATGATAGATCCGTTAAGTCAGACAATAATAGAACTACGCAAACTCCTACGGCCCTTTCGGAATGTACCGTTTCAACCGGAAAGTTCAGATGTTTCCCCTGATTGCGTATCAAAGCAATTATACGGGAAAGGGCAAACACCCGCAAAGACTTGCAGTTAAAGCGACCAGTACCTTGATATCACTGCTAGTGATATCGCCTACAGCCGTCGCAAACATTAGTTCGTTCATGCAACTCGCAAGTGCTTTGGATGAGAAATATCATTTTTATTATATACATTTAATTTTTTCGAGGTTTCCTCTTTTCTCGTTTTCATGTTTAGAGAGCTACTGCTTAGCTATAGTAAACCTGTCAGTTCACTATTTTGTATTATTATTATTATAAATTTATACACTACTCCATGTGTGAGATTTGATAAGTACAACGCAAAACACTCTACTAAACAATATATATATCGAAATATAAAATAGAAAATTCGAAATATAATATTCAGTGTATGATTCTGACCGGTATAACAAAAAGTGTGTCCAAAAGTGTGTAACCAAACTGACGTGTTTTCACACAATTTGGTAAGGCATTCGATAGAATTGTTTTGGCCCAAAAACGAAAATTACAAAAATGGTTTGGATCGGACTGCTTTTCCTTTCACTTGCCATACAACGCCATATTTTGAAAAGTCGATTTATGGATAATTGTAGGATCGCGTAGGACACATATGCTTGATTTTTCTTAATGACCACAAATGGAGAGATCATGTCCTCTTCTACTGCCTCGTTTTTTGTTGTTGTTTGCAAAACCATTTGGATAAGAAAAACAACTGATATTGACTTAAATTATATGTAATTTTTCATCGCAGTCCAGTATCATATGCAAAACACATTCTATTTCAATTTAAGCTTCTTGCAAAAATGTCGTTTATTCAAGATTAACAAACAAGTCCACTCATTTTCCCATATTTTTTATGTAGAAAAAATGTTGCATTAAAATTAAGCACCAGTAAGATAGTAAACAATATCTACAACAAAACTCTTTAACAAGCTTAGTTGCCTTTTGATTTAGTTGAGCAGATTTTTGCTTTAGTAACGGTATCTAGGTATGAAAATGTCATTAAAAAAAACTCGTAATAGAAATAAAATTCAGTTTACAACGAATATTTTGATCTCCGTCACTTAATTAAGCAGAAATGTCACTGCAAATGTAATATACGATGCAACGAGTAAGCATCCAGCTTGTACATATCTACTTTTAATACGATATTGCCTTTGAAGTTAATAATCATCATGCAAAGGAGGATTAATTTACAATGGCGCGGTCATGTCAAAGAGAGATATATCGGCGGAATTTCTCCCTTGCAAATCTGCAAAGAGAAGAGAAGTTTTAATCACGTTGCTGATAAAATCGTAACAAGACTGCATCGCTACTTTCTCTCCGCGCGTTTCTAAACATTTCGAAAAAAGGTAAGAAATGTCGTCGGTGCCCGAGACTGTTTTATGAAATGAATTACAAATGTAGCTGTAGGCTGTTTGAAGTGTAATCGTAGGCTTCATAAAATGATGTCCGGCACCATGTCTGGCTGCCTCAAACTTTTCTTCGGCCTCGTGTTCAATTTCGCAGCTCATCCTGTTGACGAGCTCCTGTGCTTACAAGAGCCGTAAATATATGAGGTGCTAGAAGAGCTCGCATTGTCTGGTGTGTGGTGAAACGTATGATCCCATAGAGTATTTCAGGAGTATGAAGCTCTCGCGAATTGATGAAGATTCTTGCAATCAGTAAACGGTGGTATCCAATGTACTGCCCATGTGCCCTCATTGCGGAATTAAACATTTTTATGCAAGTTCTCAGATAAAATCAACTTAACTATCTGTAGTTCATAAGTCATTGAAGAACAATGGTACGGCTTGTTTGAGAAATTAATAAAGGAGCTTCTCTCCTTTAAGTTGTAAGTTATGTTCGATTGAATAGTCCTGTTAAAAAGCGTTTCGATCGTAAAACAAAACTTTTTTCAAAAATAATAGTCCATTGTCCATAGGATTAACCGGTTAAAAATTGCGGTGCGCGGCGGCTCAATGCGTTAGAGCGTACTTACACATAGCGCATACTTACAAAGGCGCAACACTTACTGGCGGAAGCACATTTTGAAAAATTCAGGATAAGTTTCAGTGTTTTATTTAGTATTTAAACTTAATTTGACTAAGGCACAATTGGAGAAATCCAAGATATTTTAATTTAAGCTGACCGAAGCCTGGAAAACTCCAGGGTAAGGTAAAAATTTAAGACATTAATTTGGAACTTCAAAGAATAGATGCGTACACGATGGGATTTCTATACCTTATAATTGCTCTAAAAGCATTTCGAACTCCGCTAAGTGGAGCGCGGCCCTTTAAAAAGAAATGAATTGTCTAGATGTGAAAATACCATCTCAATTTTTTCGACCGTCATGTTTCGAAGAGCTTTAATGGTCTACAAAATTAGGTAAATAATAATGTAA